ACGTAATTGAACGGAGCCAAGCTGTACCAGTTTCTGTACAGTGCATGAAGTTTATGGTGTAGAAGACGTAATTGAACGGAGCCAAGCTGTACCAGTTTCTGTATAGTGCATGAAGTTTATGGTGTAGAAGACGTAATTGAACGGAGCCAAGCTGTATCCAGTTTCTGTATAGTGCATGAAGTTTATGGTGTAGAAGACGTAATTGAACGGAGCCAAGCTGTACCAGTTTCTGTATAGTGCATGAAGTTTATGGTGTAGAAGACGTAATTGAACGGAGCCAAGCTGTACCAGTTTCTGTATAGTGTACGAAGTTTATGGTGTCGGGCTTGCCGAGAATAGAAACAGAAGCTAGAAAAGTGTTTTGGCAATGCCGTTCAATATTTTGCCAATGATAGAAAGGCTCCCCCAGTTATTATTAATGCAGTGGTTTGAGTGAAACAAACACTTTCAAAGAGATTATTAGTCCATGAGCCAAACCCCCAAAATTGGATCCATTGGCGCAACTAAAAGGGGCAAATTCTACTATGCATTTTTGATCTATCACGTGTCTCTAGTTTTCAGTTTTGTATGATAGCCATTTGGGTGTGGCAGCTTTGTATGAAAATTTGCACTTAACCTGAGGCACCGTCTGACAAAATTGTATAACCAAATTCTTACAAATTCAACATAACCATCTAAGAGGACAGGCTATGTTGAATTTATTTGCACGTTTTGTGTTTTGACATATGTTTCTCACTTTCAGGTATCCTCTCCATAACAGCAAATATAATCCAAATATATTCACTTAGAACTAGGTACCTTTTAGCAATAAAATCGCAAACATGCGTTTTTGCAAGTTTGCTTTGTTAAGGTTTTATAGGGGTATATGTTGGAGTACTTTATAATAAACTTAGATTTGCATTTTAGGATTTATAGCTGAAAAGTAACAACCTCAACTCCATTTGATTATAAATGTATAACTACAAACAAACACCTTAATAGTATGTATTTTATTTGCATCTAAAACACAAGTCAAAGTTTCTAACTCGTTTTGGGTAAAGAAACTTCTAATGGAACATTTTTAGATCATTATTTGAAATATTGTTGATCTTTCTACCCTTGCTCTAGAATACAATACATCGAAATGTCTTAGTCTTATTAGGTCTAGTGTAGCATTAAGTATTATTTCTGTCCCTTCAATGATAAGATAAAAGGAATACTTTTTCATCCAGATCAGAACAAACATTACGGTGATATTGAAATATCAATAATTTTTGCTTACATGTATGTTCAGTCATATATAAATCTTTTATAACTACCCTACATAAAGTTTTACGGATATTAAAAATAGCTGTTACATGGTTCTATGAATATTTGGGTATATGCATGCTAAACAATTTTCAGCAATACAATCAAAGTATTATAGACATTATTGTGGTTCATGTTGGACTTCACCTTCATTACCATGAAATAATTAAGGACATGTATGCAATTCGTATTCCTATATGTTAAAGTATAAAGAGCACAACATACATAAAATTGTCACAACAGTTCTAACTGACAAACAACTCAAAACATTAAACATCAGGAGCCACTTATACCATTGAACAAATACTATAATGTCTGGTATGACAGTTAATTCCAGTCATTAGCTGTTTCATCACTTGTAGTTAACTTCATATCATTAAGTTTTAACAATTGGATCAAAGTCTGTATTTCCATTCACATATTTTAAAACAGTGCTTTGTTAAATTGAACCATTCGTGTTATAAAATATCATGATTGACTTTATGTAATGCACCTAAAGTATTTTAGGTTATTAGTTGTGAGCAAATGATTATACATCAAATCCAAATTGTTTATATAGTATATATTTATTTATTTTTATGTGTGTGTTACAGCTTACACATGTGTATGAACACTACATAAACAATTTGGTTTACACGTATAATGTTATATACATATTTCATCATTACACATTGTTACATACGCTATCAGCTTTTAACAGAATGTCTCTAGCTTGAGTGCAGATTTCTTAAGTAAACATCCGAGATTCGTTCTACTGCGGTTTATAATGTGCTGCCATCTATGGGTTTTCAAACTCATAGATTTTTCTTTTCAGGCATCATAAAACTCATAATCACTGGCAGAATTCAGTTAAATTAAGATTTTATATTTATGTTGTTACTACAGTACACATATCAGTATATACTTAAAGAAAACA